AAATCAATAAAAACATTTTAAAAAATATAGGAGACTTTAATAACCAACTTACATCAATAAATATATCATCCAGACAAAAAAATCAATAAGGAAACTAAGTCCTTAAATGTCACATTAGACCAAATTGACTCTACAGATATTTATGGAATATTTCATCCAAAAACTACAGAATATACATTCTTTTTCAAGTGCGCATAGAACATTCTCCAAGACTGATCACATACTAGATCACAAGTTTCAATAAATTCAAAAAGACTAAAATCATATCAAGCATTTTTCCAACCACGACATTATGAAACTAGAAACCAACTACAAGAAGAAAACTGGAAAAAAACACAAACACGTGTAGACAAACAACATGCTACTAAATAAGCAAAAGATCAAAGGTAAATGAAAAAATACTTAGAGAATTGTTTTAGTTAAGTCATTTTTGACATAACATTTATTATCATTGTGGATCCAGTTGTCGGGTATTGGGTTATCAGTTCTTTGAAGAAATAAATTTTGAGGAGGTGTGGAAGGAAGGAATACATTTTATAAAATCTTACCATGAAGCTCATGACTAACCTTTGAATAGCAAGTGTTTTAAGTATGCTGTTAAGTATCTGTAATGTACAGTTAAGGGAATTACCGGACAGTGAAAGAAACGTGAGCTTGCCAAACAAGGATTTCATTGTAGATTTTCTCTTTATGTAAGATCTCTTTCAGTGATCTTAAAGAAACAAGTTATAGTTAAAGATTGAATGGAAGAACCTGCCATTGTTGTTCCACATCTGGATGTTGCTGTTTACATTCCTTTGTTGAGCCAATATCTTCATAAGCTTTTTGCAGGTATAAGTCGAACACTTCTGTTTCATGGTCAAGACAGATTCAGAGGCCATGGATACTGGCGATTGATTTATTCTGTCTTTTTCCATGACTGTATCTACTGCCTCGTCTTTAATTATAAGAAAAACCTGGAAAACCTACAAAAATGTGTTTTGTAGTTATCTTGGAATAATACAGAAAATATTGCTGTTATTTTTGGTGAAAAAAGTCAATTCCGTATAGTTTATTTCAACATAAATAAAATGTGAGTTTTGTTTAAAAAAATAAAAATAAATTTAAAAAATAAAATAAAAATGAAAACACAACTTCCCAAAGCCCATGGGATATAGCAAAAGCAGTTCTAAGAGGGAAGTTTATAGATACAGATCTACCCTAAGAAACAAGATAAGTCCCAAATAAACAACCTATCTTTACATTTAAAAGAACTATAGATCAAAGCAGAAATAAATGAAACAAAGATTGAAAAAAAAATAGAAAAGATCAATGAAATTAAAGCTGGTTCTTTGAAAGATAAACAAAATTGACAAACCTTTAGACAGACTCACCAAGAAAAAAAGAAAGGGTCCAAATAAATAAAATTTAAAAATGAAAGAGAAGTTACAACTGACAACATAGCATTATAAAGGATCATTAAAGAATACGACATTTGCCCAGCTGGTGTGGCTCAGTGGTTGAGCATCGACCCATGCACCAAGAGGTCGCCAGTTCGGTTCCTGGTCAGGGCACGTGCCCAGGTTGTGAGTCAAATCCCCAGTGGGGAGCATGCAAGAGGCAGACAATTGATGTTCTCGTCCATCAATGTTTCTATCTCTCTCCCCATGTCCCTTCCTCTCTCTCTAAATCAATAAAGAAAAAATAAATAAATAAACATGATGCATTAAAAAAAAAAAGACTACAATTATATGCCAATATAAGTACCCAATAGTAGAATCAAAGTCAGTAGTAACAAACCTGTAAAAGCTTCATATATTGAAATTATAAATGAAACAACTATACTTACTATGTTTAAAGATATAAATAGCAAATCTGAAATATCTAAAGTGAACAGGAAACTATAAAAAGTGACATAGCAGCCCTGGCTGGTTTGGCTCAGATGTTGGAGTACTGGCCTGAGGACCAGAGTGTCCCGGGTTCGGTTCCCACTAGGGGCACGTACCAAAAAAAAAAAAAAAGTGACATAGCAGACTTGAAAAGAATCAAATGTAGCTTCTAAATATAAAAATTGTAATAATCAAAATTTAAAACTCAGTGGTTAGGTATAATAACATCTTGGCCACAGCGAAAGAAAGTACTAGTGAAATAAAAGTTATGAAAAATTACACAGAATGTACCACAGAAAGTCAAAACATTAAAATTTAAAATAACCAAAAAGTAAGAGTCTGTTAGATACAGTGAGAATATTTAAGTTACATTTGTTCAAAGTCCCAGAAGGCAAAGAGAAATATAGTAAAGAAAATGTTAGAAGGTAATGACTAAGAATTGTGCAGAACTGATGAAAGTTTCAAACAATCATGAGGACTAGCAAATCCCAAGCAACAGAATTAAATCTACACCTACATACATCATAATTAAACTGTAAAAAAACAAAGATAAAGAGAAAAATCATAAGAGCAACCAGAGGGAAAAAAGACTGACACCTAACACTTAAAGAGAAACAATGAAAACCAAAAGACAAAGAATGTAACACGAAGAGAGAAAATAACTACTCACCTCCAATTCTATAGCCACTAAAATATCTCTCAAGAAAGATAATGAAATAATGACATTTCTAGACAGCAAAAACTTAGAGATGGTGTCACCAACAGACTCACAATATATGCAATTCTAGACCTCAGGCAGGCAGAATAGTGATACTGAGTGGAAAGTCTGAGATTCAAGAAGGAATAAAAAATAAAGAGAATAGTAAATATATAAATAAATATAAACAATATTTAATAAAATTTAACTATATAGAACAGAAATAATATGATCTAGTGAGATTAAACACAAGAATTAAAATGCCAGCAACATTAATGTACACATTGGGAACATGGTACATGGAATTCAAGTGTTTTGAGGTCTTTATATTATTTATAAGAACAATAAAGGTTCTGTTCAACTTCAGACTTGGGATAATTTAAGACTACACATTGTAGGATAACTCAAAATTGCACTTTATGGACTACACTTCTATGTAGGATGTAGTATATTGGAATGGACCAATGTTCCTGTCAAAACAACTAAAGAAACTGGAAACTGAGCTGATGTTTCTGCAGATACTTGTTACCTGGAAGTACTTGCTGATTCGGTAACTCTGGACAAGATGTTGAAAATCTGAGTTTTGCCCAGGCAAAGAGCTGTTGTTAGAAAACAGAATAAATAGCAGAGGTTTCAAAGATCTTGCAGGACTGAAGATAGGGATCTCAAAAGCACAGTCAGTTTTTCCCCTGGGACATTTACCAAATTTCGAAACTATAAGATAAAGGCTAAAAGCTAGGCAGAAAGCTTTAAAAGAGCAAAGCACACATTCTGTCAGTCTTGTGGTACCAAGGAGATAAGGACTGGTAATATTCAGGACATATAAGAGAGAGCATGACCACACCAGGCTCTCAGTGCCCTAGAAGGCTGCATCCTAGGAGCAAACCAAGAACATACTGACCCTTACTACTCTAAATGCCCAGAATAGAAAAGGAAAATAGTATTATCTGGAGCCTCTATAATTTTTTTTACCATAATGTCTAACATTCAATAAAAAATTACTAGGTATGTCAAAAGACAATGAAAATCAAGGTAATTTTGCCTTTCTTTTATAATACAATTTATAATTTATGATACAATGTCTTGTAATACCTTCAAGTCATTATTTGAAACACCAAAGAAAATAGTTCTGTAGATATGAAAATTTTATATTTATAAAATGGCAAATAACAAAGAATTTACCATTATTTCTAAAATCTCTGGAAAAAAGTAAATTTTATCCTTCTCTAGATATTATAACTACAATTCTCATTATTGCCCATAGAGAATACTCATTAAATCTTATTTATTACACATAAATACTTATCAGCACTAATGTTTACTCCATCCCCTTAAACATTTCATCTTACTGAGAACATACAGTTTCAAATCTAGCTTCCAATATCAACACCTACCGTACTTTCCAGCTTCCCTCAAACTTGTACTTTTTTCTCACTGTGTATTTTGTTTCTCTTACATGTCATAACCTTAATAATTCTAGCTTTAAAAAAACAAAGTATATGAAAACACTTTGAAAACTATAAATCTCCACACAAATTGAATGGCATTTATTATTATTACTATTAATTAACATATAAAAAGCCTGGATTTTTTTTAATACTTTCAATTAATTGCCATGAATATGTTGCTTTTTTAACAAGATAGAATCAGAAATTAACCTTTATGTAAGCTACTAAAATAATCCAAATTCCAAAACTAAATGTAACAAAACAGTATGTTATTCTTTTAATATGTTTCTAATTTTTCTCTTATATATATATATATACACGTGTGTGTATATGTGTGTGTGTATGTGTGTGTATGTGTGTGTATGTGTGTGTATGTGTATAGTTTTTAACAGAATGAATTTCCTTAAGGTAATAATGAAAAGGTCATATGAAATTAGATATACAGAGAATCACAGAATTCTTGAGGCCTATTTAGATACTAGTTTCTTTAACTAATAAAATCAGGTTTTGAACATGATTCTTAAGGCTGTTTTTAGTTCTGTGCATGATTCTGTACCAGCTAACCACATAGCTATAACACCGTTGCAGTAAATTTTTCATTGAGTTAAATCAATGGTACAAGTAATTTAAAAATTAAGTGCTTTAATAGAGTTGCAGGTGATAGGCTATATTTGCACTATCAGGCCTTGATTATAAAACAGAAGATCACGAGACATAAAAATGAGTTTTTTTTCTTCCCATAAAAATTGAGTACATATTAGAAAAAGTAAATTAACTTAATCAGGTAAATTAAAACATGCTATTAAAACCTGGAAAATTCTGACAGTACACCAATGACTCATACAAACACCAATAATAAGGAGCAAATAACCTTTGTGCTACATGCAAATAGGGGACCTTTGTACATTTGACGACCTAGATACAGAAAGGTAGTTTCTGTTAGAATAAAAGAAAAAATAGTGTTAATGATCAAAAGTGTATGCTCACCTTGTAAAAATTCCTCCTTGCAAGCAGTGAAGTAGAAGAAAACAATGCTGACTTTCTAGACCTGCTTTCTTTAAATCGGCCTTGAACCAAGAATAACTAAAACACTGGACCACAAGTGTTCCAAAGAGCATAAAGCATACTGTTAAAACACCAAAAACATATTGTCCTTCATGGAAAAACCTAACAGATACCCAGATGTCCACAATTAAATCGGTTATATAGATTATGATGCCAAGAACGGACATCATAAAATTTGATTTAGTATATTTCATTATAAATCACTATAGCTCTTGGTTGTTTACTTTCTTCTCTTATACAGAAAGGAGGGAAAAAACAGCTTTAGTACAGTACTGAATTTTATTTTCACTCACTAAATCTATCTAGAATAATAAATATTATTAAATTGGAATACCAAAATCAAATTGACTAATTTTAACTTTCTTTTCTAAATCTCTAATCTAGGTTCAGTGTTATAAGGCTTTATTCAATCTTCTGTTTCACAATGATCTTCATTACAGATGACAATACCTAAAATAAAACATACATATATGTACATATAAGATTCTAAAACTCTTGGATATAATATTAAAAACTCTAGGTCACGACTTTATCAATGCTCTATTTTTTTTTTTCATCCTCACCCGAGAACATCCTTTCATTTTTTGTTCAGATAGAATGGGAAGGAGAGAGAGAGAGAACTATCAACATGAAAGGGACACATCGAGTGGCTGCCTCCCGTACAACCCAACCAGGGCCGGGGACAAACCGCAACTGAGGTACATGCCCTTAGCGGGAACCGAACCCGGGTCTCTCTGGACCACAGGCCAATGCTCTAACCACCAAACCAAACCGGTCAGGGCTTAATAATAATATATTATCACCAAATATAGTTCTTACAATAGCTTTGGGAAAGTAAAGTCTCAGCAATATACTAACAAATTGACAACTTCCTCTCAGACTATTTACCTTTTAAAAAGCTTAACCTAGTTCCCTCTGCTCTTCACATGGGAAGATGGCTGTCTGCAAACCAGGAAGTGGGCCCTTACCAGACACTAGGTCTTGGACTTCCTGTCTCCAAACCTAAGTTTCTTCTCAGAGATGCTTCTTCTGGAAAAGGCTTCTCTACCCCAACTCTCATCTACTTGTCAACTAGAAAGCCTTAAACTCACCCCTAGAGATGGATTCCTCAGATTAAACATTGTCCTCTATTAAAATGCAGATAACTTGCCCTGTCCAGTTTGGCTCAGCAGATAGAGCGTCGGCCCATGGACCAAAGAGTCACTGGTTCAATCTGGTCAAGGGCACGTACCTCGGTTTCCGTTCATCCAGGCCCTGGTCAGGGTCATGAGGGAGGCAACCAGTCCACGTGTCTCTCTCATATCAATGTTTCCCCGCCCCCAGCCCCACTCTAACTGAAGATAAATGGAAAAATATCCTCAGGTGAGGATTAAAAAAAAAGAAAGAGCCCTGGCCGGTTTGACTCAGTGGTTAGAGCGTCGGCCTGCGGTCCTGAGAGACCCGGGTTCGGTTCCCGCTAAGGGCGCATACCTCGGTTGCAGTTTGTCCCTGGCCCTGGTCAGTTGTGCGGGTGGCAGCCACTCGATGTGTTCCTTTCACATCGATGTTTCTCTCTCTCTCTCTGTTCCTCTCTCTCCCTCCCACTCTACCTGAACAAAAAATGGAAAAATGTCCTCGGGTGAGGATAAAAAAATAAAATTAAAAAAAAGAAAGAAAGAAAATACAGGTATCTTCTAAAATGAGTCACATATGACCATAAATTAGTATCATTTGTAATTTTTAAATTTTTTAAATTGATAACTATCAAGGTACTGAAGGAATAAAATAGCACTGTAGTCTCCAAACACTTTTGATTATACATCTTTATTAGTAAAAAGCTAATATATGAGCTATGTCCACATATATATGCATATGTATGTATGTATACATATATATAATTACTGTCAATTCACACATTTTAATAAACAATTTTATATACATTTTAAAATAAAATAAAAAGCTTAACCTACTCACAAAGGTCTTTATCATAGGACCATTTATATTGGCAAAACTTTGGAAATAATCTAAATATGTCAGCATAAAGAATTGGTAAAGTAAATAATGGTAGATTCATATAATGGAATATTAGAAAGCTACAAAAATATATTTTAACAAGGTACAATAGCTATGAAAACTTTTAATATGCTTTTGACTCAGAAATTCCATCTAGGAATCAAGCCTAGGGAAATATTCACAAATGTGCACAAAGATATATATGCTCTTTTCAGAACTTTTATACAACAGCAAAAAAACTGAAAGCTACCTAAATGACAATTGAGAAGCTTAGTTCTACAACTTACGGTACCTTCATACTAAAGAATACACCATGCAACATTTAATAAGAATAAAGTAGCTTTGTGTAACCTGATTTTAAAAGACCTTTAAGACACATTAAGTGAAAAAAACAAGTGCCAGACAGATAAATATAGAATTTGTGGTTTTTAATTATATATGGAGAGGGAAAAGGGTTCGAAGTAGGAAGCAAAAGCAACTTCAATTAAATATACTTTTCATTGTTTAAGGTTTTTCTTTTGTTTGGTTTTTTTTTTATCCTCACCCGAGGACATTTTTCCATTTTTTGTTCAGGTAGAGTGGGAGGGAGAGAGAGGAACAGAGAGAAAGAGAGAAACATCGATGTGAAAGGAACACATCGAGCGGCTGCCACCCGCACAACCGACCAGGGCCTGGGACAAACTGCAACCGAGGTACGCGCCCTTAGCGGGAACCGAACCCGGGTCTCTCAGGACCGCAGGCCGACGCTCTAACCGCTGTAGCCAAACCGGCCAGGGCTGTTTGAGGTTTTTTACAATAGATTTGTATTCATATATTGCATAATTTCTTAAAATGAAAACAACAATAAATGATACTTATAAAGAATTTCAATAACTGGAGAAAACTTTTATGCTACTGATGATAGATAACATTTGCTTAGCACAATGTGCCAGGAATTGAACTAAATGTTGCATATGAAATGTCCCTATTTGCCCTTGCCAGTTTGGTTCAGCAGTTGAGCATTAGCCTGTAGACCAGAGAGTCCTGAGTCCTGGGTTCAGTTCCCACTAGGGGCACGTACCACCAAAAAAAAAAAAGTCCCCATTGTCCCCATTTAATTCTTTTTTTTTAGTTAGTTAGTTTGTTTTATTTTATTTTTTTATTAATTTATTTTTGTTACAGATGTTTCTCCTTTTTTCCCCACTGACACCCCCCATTTAATTCTTACATCAAACTTGAGAGGTAGATACTACTATTATGATTTCTATTTTATAAATGTGGGCTGAATGCAATCTGCAGATGAGATTTGTCTGACTCAGTGGTGTTCTTTTAATTTTCCTAATTAATTGCCAACATTTCATATAAAAATCCAGAATTTTCACTGCTATTTTAACAACAACAACAATAAAGATCTGCTACACTAGACTACCATTCCTCCATTAGCAGTGGGTGTCCCCTAATTGGAGCATGCTCTCTCAAGTTCACCACAGTAGCCAGCCACCCCACTTCAGTCATTTCAACAACTCCGTCTCAATGCTAATGCAGCTACCTACTAGCTGTGTGTCCTTAAACATGTTCTTTTATCTCTTTATGCTTTATTTTCTTCATCTGAAATACAGAGATTATAATGGTATATACCTCACACAGGGTTGTTTTGAAAATTAAGAAGGATAATTCATGTAACACATATAAACTTCGAGAAAAGTACTTGGCACACAGTGCTCAATAAATGTTAGTTACCATCAGTGCCTACCTGCCTACCTGATCCCTGTAAGAATCTCAGTTTGAAATATGTGACTTAACCTTCAATAATATTAAGTGAAAAAGTACTATGGTATGATCTCAAAGCTGTGAAAATGCAAAGAAAATATGACTAGAAAAATACAAAATGTTAACAATGGTTTTATTTGTTGAATTAATGGTTTTATTTGTTGAATTAATGGTGTCATTCTTTTTCTATATGTAGGGACAGAATTATTTCCCTGCAAAATTATGTTAGAATTCTACTACTCAATATGACTGTATTCTAATCCCCAATAGGCCTTTAAGGAGGTAAATAAGGCTAAAAGGTCATTATGATGGGGCCTGAATCCCATAAGACTGGTGTCCCTATAAGAAGAGGAAGAGACACCAGCTTTCTATCTCCCTCGCCATACCCCACCCCCGACATACACACACAGGAAATGCACGGGAGGATACAACAAGAAAGCAGCCTCCTGAAATGGAAGGAGAGCAGCCGCACCAGAAACCAACCCTACTAGCACCCGAGTGTGGGATTTCCAGTCTCTAGAACTGTGAGAAAATAAATTTTTGTTGTTTAAGCCACCCAGTCTGTGGTATTCTGTTATGACAGCTTGAATAGACTAACACCCTGTATGTTCTATAAAGAACATTTATTACTTTAAAAACCAGGAGGGAAAAGTGTTACTAAAAACACACACAATTTAATACTTACAGTGTTCTTGCCATTTTACCACTATAACTATTTCATTTAAAAGTCTTCAGAATAGTATTAAAAGGTATTTCACTCTTCTTACAGAAAAAAAAAGTTCATAATTACCACTTTTTCTGTCAAGAATGTTGTAGCCAACAGGATGAAACAAATAATTTTAAAATGTAAGTTTTTCCAACCTAGCAGGCCATGAATTTTTCAGCAGTAGGTTTCTTATCTTAAAATGAAAAATACCGCCCTGGCCGGTTTGGCTCAGCGGTTAGAGCGTCGGCCTGCGGTCCGGAGAGACCCGGGTTCGGTTCCCGCTAAGGGCACGTACCTCGGTTGCAGTTTGTCCCCGGCCCTGGCTGGTCGTGCGGGTGGCAGCCACTCGATATGTCCCTTCACATCGATGTTTCTTTCTCTCTCTCTCTCTTCCTCTCTCTCCCTCCCACTCTATCTGAACAATAAATGGAAAAATGTCCTCGGGTGAGGATAAAAAAAAAAAAAGAAAAAGAAAAATACCATGCCCAACCATACCAAAATACCACACCATAAGCATGAATTTTAGTAGAATGAGATTTAATCAGCAAGTTCTGTTCAATTGAATTAATTAAATATTTACTTGGAACCCACCATGTGCTGTTTTAGGCTCTTGGGATATATCAAGTGACAAAACAGACAAAAATCCCTGCCTCTGTGGAATTTACACCTTAGCAGAGAAAGATAGTCAATTAATCATAAAATAAATAAATTATTATATTCAAAGGTAATAAGTGCTATGGAGAAAAACATAGAGCATTTTAAGAGAGATGAGGAGTTGAGAGTAGAAGCAGGTACATCATGGGTTGCAATTTTAATTAGAATGATCAGAGCAGGCCTCAATGCAAAGGTGACATTTCAGTAATGAAATCTGTCATGTGGATATCATGAAAAAACTTTCCAAGTGGAAGGAACAGCTAGTTCAAAAGTGTAATGCACTACATTTTGAGTACATCCTCCAAAAACAAAAGTTCCACAAAATATTGGCAGAGATTCCTTAGCATTATTTTACTGGCTGTGTTTAACGTGTATCCAAGTCCTATTCTAACATAATTCTAAAAAATAAAATTTCTTAAGCTTTTCTATGTAGGGACAAAAAGTATTGCATACATAGTGGAAGAGTAGATAGTAATAATAGTAGCTACCATTTCTGAACGTTTACTACATGTAAACTGCTTTACATATATTATTTCATTTAATCCTTACAAATCCTTATAAGAAGGGTATTATTGGCCCCATTTTACAGATCAGGAAACTGAGTTTAGAGATATTGGGTGTTTAGGTGAGTTATCTCTAATGAGCAAACTGTTTTTATTGTTTTGTCTGTTTGTTTGTTTTATTAATCTTCACCCAGGGATAGTTTTTTCATTCATTTTTAGAAAGTGGAAAGGAGGGAAGGAGGAAGGGGGAGAAAGAGAGAGAGAGAGAGAGAGAAACATCAATGTGAGAGAGACACTCTGATTGGTTGCCTCTGGAACAAGCCCCAACCAGGACTGGGGATCAGACCTGCAACCCAGGTACAAGCCCTTGACTGGGGATCAAACCTGCGACCCTTCAGTGCACAGCCAATGCTCTAATCACCGAGTCATGCTGGCCACGGCAGCAAACCATTTTTTAATTGTAGATGATTTCCTTAGAATTACAGAGTATAATACTTAAGCACTCCATAGGTGTATTTCTTTCTTTCTTAATATATTTTCTTTGATTTTTTTTTTTTTTTTTTTTAGAGAGAGAGATGGAAACATCAATGTGAGAGAGCGAGACATTGATCGGCTGCCTCCTGCACGCCCTCTTCCAGGGATGGAGTCCAAAACCCGGGCATGTGCCCTGACTGGGAATCAAACTGGAACCTCTTAGTCCATGGGACAATACTCCACTGAGCCACACTGGTAGGGCCATACATGCATTTCTTAATCACTCTCCCCACAAAGAGAGCTTCCTTTACCTGGTATGGATATGGAAAACACTAGCAGTTTTGAGTCAAGTTTTATAAGATGGGGAAAATAATTTTGAAGAAACTTATTAATTGTATAATTGGTATAATATCAGACTCAAAAAAACTAATCTGATACGACTACTTCTGTATTCCTAATTTAGTGAGGCAGGGACATAACGCCAACTGGAAAGAAACCTACACAGTAAGGTAATAACTATAGCAGCTCTCACAAAGAGGGCCCGTAGCTCTTTCAATAACCACATGGTTATATAACTTGTATGAAGGACAGTTCATTTCTATTCTTACAGTTGATCACTATTCCAATACCAGCTTACGAGAAATAAAGCCATTTACAAAATTTGACTTCCTAGGGAACTTGTGACACTAATTTAATATTACACTTTCAATCCAATTTCATTCAGAGGTCAACCCAGTTGTATGGCTGGCTTCCTGGTTGCCAGCTAAAATATATAACCTTTGCCCACTGTACATGATCTCTTTGCAATAAAGCAGATATTTAAAAAGTAAAAACTAGGAGACTTCCATTTGTCAATCAAATTTAACACACATAAGATACAGACTTACTTGTCAAGTGTAAAAAGGCTTCTTTAATTCAGTCTCTTCTAGAAAATTCTCATTTCTTTTATTTCTTCTTCACTGAAAACAGGTATCATTAAAGGGTTTGTAAACCTTAAAGACCAAAGACTAAAATGAAACTGAAATCACCTGTTAGTCATATGTGGGATAGTCTAATCTGGTGATAACAGAGTGATTCATTGTGACTACAGTACAACCTTTTATGACATTGGGGAAAGGAATAACATGGCTTCTATTATAGGCTGACTAGGTTACAAGCTTTTACTGTATTTATCAATTAAGTTTTAAGAAAATACAATTTTTCTCACAGCATATCCAAGTGAACACGTCATGTTTGAAAGAAAGAAAAAGAGATTTTTGAATTTGAAATACTCTGATAATGAATTTTCAAAATATCATTAAGTTAGCCCTACCTACTTTTTCAAATTGTATACCTTCTCAAAGCCTATGCCAAGAACATATGATTGTTGGTTTCCGTTCCCAAAAACACCCACTAAATTTCTTCTATTTCCAAGCCTGTCTATAACGCCCTTCTACCTCCACCTACCTGATGAAATTCTATCAATCCTTTAAGAATCAACTCAAAATCCATCACCTTTAAGCTTTCCCAGATCTTCCCAATCAATTTGATTCTCCCCTTCATACTTGCAATCACATCACTTTAGCTTCTCCTCTAGGATTTACCCAAATATGCATTAAAATAAGACCATGCATATCTCCTTTCTGATTATGAATGTCTAGAAAGAGCCTACTATCTTTCATTTTTAACACCACACACACACACACACACACACACACACACACAACGTCTACAAGAATACTTTGCAGCCCTGGCCGATTTGGCTCAGCATTTAGAGCGTTGGCCTGTGGTTCAGAGAGACCCAGGTTCGGTTCCCACCAAGGGCATGTACCTCAGTTGCAGTTTGTCCCCGGCGCTAGTCGGTTGTGCGGGTGGCAACCACTCGATGTGTCCCTTTCACGTCGATGTTTCTCTCTCTCTCTCTCTTCCTCTCTCTCCCTCCCACTCTATCTGAACAAAAACAAAAACAAAAAAATGTCCTCAGGTGAGGATTAAAAAAAAAAAGAATACTTTGCATGTTGTAGGCAGATGATAAATGACTGCAAATGGGACTGGACAGAATGTAAAAATCATTGGTCTTACTTCTTGGAGAGGAAGTTAACCTTCAAGTCACATTGCTAAGTATATCAACAAATACTCAATTTTATATCTGTAGCCGAGATCTCCCATCTGAGCTAAACTCACATATCCAACTACCTATAGGTATCCTTTCCAAGATATCCCCCAATCACCTCAATTTCAACTTATCTAAACAAAGTTCACTATCCATTCGTTGTTCCTGCTCTTCTGCTAATGTCTCCTTGTATGACTCCACTCAAGTCACTCAACTACTTTTTTTTTTAATCCTCACCCAAGTATATGTTTTCATTGATTTTTAGACAGAGAGGAAGGGAGGGAGGAAGGAGGGAGAAAGGAAAAGAGAGAGAAACATCCATAGGTTACCTCTCATACTCGCCCTGACAAGGGATCAAACCAGCAACCTAGTTATGTGCCCTAACCAGGAATCAAACCCGCCTTTTGGTGTAGGGATGACGTTCCAACGATCTGAGCCACCTGACCAGGGCAAGTCACTTAACTTTTAAATTATTTGTTGGGTCAATTTCTTCATCTGTCAAATGAAGAGCTTGGCAGTTATTAAATAAAATCGAGATGGTAGGCACAAAATGAAATTCTAATTTTAAAAAAAGCTAAGGGTTAAGAGCTTGGAGCTGCCTGCAAGTCTCAGGAAGAGCACCAGGGTGCAGAAATTACTGCCCCGCCCTCTTCTCAAAGGTTCTGCTGATTCTCCAGCAGAGAGTTCTTAGGATGAGGGAAGGAGGAGGTCGCTTCCTGCCTGAATAGCCATTAATTCATGGTGACAAATACGTAAATATTGGTGAGCTGATCTTCCTGACATAGGGATTTTGATGGTTATTCCGAGCATTTTTTTAAAGGCCCATTGCTTACCTTCCCTTTGCAAAGGGGTTAATTTACATGATTATTTCAGTGAAGGTCTTTGAAACACTTTGCCATTAAAAGGACATCTTTGCGACTCAAGGCAAAAAAGTGTGTCACACATAACACAGGTGTGTCTTTCCAGAAATGTGGAATATTAAACTGCTGATCTGTAAAATAAACTTTTTTCAATTTTTAACATTGCTTATATTCGTTATGATATTTTATGTCTCTTACATAAAATCCAAGAAAGCCCATTCTTTCCCGAGTTAGCATCTTCTTAACTGGTATGCTTTTTCTTACTCACTAAGGAGAACTAACTATACAACCGTGTCTTCTTTGCTTTGGCTGCCAGGGACCTCAGGCTTTGTTCTCATCGGCAATACTTTTGTTTATCTTGCGTGTCTGGCATAAGTTATCCTCCTCCACTCTCTTTTCCTGCTTCTTTTGCTAGGTCTTTTTATTATAGTTTTAATGGGCTGAATTTTATTAAAATAAACATTTTATGAATTAATAGGAAATGGTCTTTTTCTTCAGAAATATCTACCAAAAAAAAAAAAAAAAGAATGTTAAAAATGCTTGTACTAAATTTTGGCACTGTGTCCATTTCTCATTTTTTGGAAAAGAGATGGGCTGGGGGAGCGGATGTGTTCTCCGTACTCTTGTCAAAGCTGAATGAACCTGACCACAGGATCTGCGTGTTTAAAACAGGGAGCGGTGGTGAACCCTGGGGCGGTCAATCCGCTGAACCCGGTTCCGGCCCAAGGCCGACCGCGCTCGGGCAGCCGGGAGCACGGGAGGCCGGTGCTGCGGGGGTTAAAGGAGAACCAGTTGACCAAGAGCACTTAGCAGGTGGAAAGCGCTTGGTACACATTACTTACAACTGTTACGAAAGATAAACAGGTTACTCCTCACACACACACCCCCCAGTGCCCGCAAACCTGCCGAGCCCGGCTTCCCGGGATTTAGAACCCATTAACTACCTGCAACCTGCCTGCTGCCCTTTGCTCCATCACAAGATTTCTCGATTTAAAATGTCCCCCGCCCTGGATGAACTCCCTGCCCGAGCATCAACTCCCGGGAAGGCACCTGGCTCTGTGACAAGAGAAGCTGTCAAACCCGGCTTCGCCTCAGGCCGCTTCACGCCCCGCCCAGGGAAACGCCCTCGCGCCGCCGCTCTAGAAGCCCGTGCGCAGTCACGTGGCTTCTGGCCCCGCCCCAGCTCAGAGGCTGATCCCTCCCCGCCCCACCTCCCCGCTCCGCTCCGCTGGCGAGGCGACACGTGACCTCTGGCCCCGCCCCCGGCGTAGAGGCTGATCTCTCTCCGCCTCCAGTCAGGTGACTGCTGGCTCTGCCCGCGGCCTACCTGCGGTTTCCACGCTCGAGTCCGACCGTAAACTACGCGCGGACCGGAGGCAAACGCGGAGATGGCAGCCACTCTGCAGCGCATCGAGCGTCTGTCCAGTCGAGTGGTGCGCGTCCTGGGCTGTAATCCGGGTCCCATGACCCTGCAGGGTACTAACACCTACCTGGTAGGGACCGGCGCCAGGTAAACACCCCTCGCATTCCCACCCCCCACCACACACACACGCCCGCGGAACATGCAGAGCTGGGGCTCCGATCACTGCTTGCCGTGGACCGGCACAACCAGAACCTGCCGCAGGTCACTGGTTGCCGTGGACCGGCACAACCAGAACCGGCCGCAGGTCACTGGTTGCCGTGGGCCGGCACAACCAGAACCGGCCTCAGGTCACTGCTTGCCGTGGACCGGCACAACCAGAACCGGCCGCAGGTCACTGCTTGCCGTGGACCGGCACAACCAGAACCGGCCGCAGGTCACTGGTTGCCGTGGACCGGCACAACCAGAACCGGCCGCAGGTCACTGGTTGCCGTGGACCGGCACAACCAGAACCGGCCGCAGAGGCCCAGATCTCGGACCTCCCCTAAATTACGACCGCCAAGGGTGGTAACTTCTCTAGTTTACAAGTTGCTGGGGGAGAAATGATTTTTTTAAAAAAACTTGCTGTTTAATTAAAAAAAAAAAAAAACTTGCTGTTTTTGAAACCCAGTTTGTTTTGCTTTGATGTTGAATGCCAGGGTGAGCATGTTTAAATGGTTGAGAAATTAGTATCGTCCGGACTTTTTAAGAATCCAGGAAAACGTTGATTTGGCTCACCTTCTGACTTTCACTCGTGTTTTGCCCAGAGTGTAACTGCCCCTTCACAAAAGCAATTGTACTGAGGTCTTTTTATTAACTCAGCAGCAGAGGGCAGAGTTGTCTTGCTTCCAAGTTGCTGGAGTTGGGTAATTGGAAAAAGCACCACCACACCACCCACCCCCAGCCCTTGGGAAAGAAGACATTACTAGTTTTGTTTTTGTTTGCTACTATTGTGTGGCCTTATTTAGGTTATTTTGCGGATGGAATAACCTATCTCTGTTTCTAAGATTTTTTTCTCTTGTTCAGCTGCATTCTGTTTAATGCAGAAATGAAGAGATGTGGTTTATTGCACAATAAGTGCATTGGACAGCTTTTGTGTACTTAAAATAACTTAGATATGCAAAATAGAAATAAGATATAGTTTTCTGTAAGTAGAGAATTTAACTGTGTAGTCAAGATGTGTTACAATTAATAAAATACACTTGAATACTAAATAGTTTAGCAAGTATAGTTTACTGAATTTTTATGTGAAGTACCTACTATATTCGCCTTTTTCCAGCATATCAGAATTTTCAAGTCAAGTAGGCAAAAGGTGAAGTCCAGAGCAAACAAGGCAGGGTCAGTTAGGAACAACAGTTTTAGGCTGCCTCTAGAATTTAGAAGAACAGAGAATTAGGTAGAAAAAAGTAACTGATATCTAGGGTAGAGTCTTTCTTGGCTGGGACTTGCTCACCCCAGGAAGCCCATAGGCATTTTCATCTCTTCAGTATGCCATCTTAGTTCTAAAGTCAGTACCTAAGATGAAAATTGCATATAGTCAAAATTACCCTGGAAAGTCTCCATATGGGAGATCAGTTTCTCAGTAAGTTCAACAGAGCCTGCTTTTCTCCCAGCGATGAAACAGATGGCTAGTTCCATTTGAAAACCAGATGAAGAAGTCAGCTTGTGTTTAGGGGCCATGTTGTATGAAAATACATACTGTGTCTTTAAGACACTAGAATCAGGCTCAATGTATAAACTGTTTGTACTAAAAGAGACATAAAGAACCTGAAACTGACTGAGATTCATAGTCTCCCATCTTACATAAACTCATGGAGTGGAATGGCCCGTGGAATCACTCGTGTATGAGAGAGATGATGAGTCCACATAGTTGAGCTAGAATAGGTTAATGTACAGATGATACTGCTCTATAAAGTAGAAGTCAAGTGGCTAGAAATGATTAATTGAATCCAAATTAGAGGTTCTTATATTGGTAGCCACCTGTTCCACTGCACAAAACAGTTCTAAGATCACAGGTAGTTTCTATTATCACCAAATCCAATGGCATTTTTCCATTCCTATTTATTTGAATTTCGATATCTTGATCCTGTTGACCACTCCTTGATCTACTAACACTGCTTTCTCCTGGCTTCTTACCCCTCTAGCTGCTCTTTTACAGTCTCCTTTATAGAATCATCCTCTTTACCCGATCTTTTACGTGTTTGAGTTCCTCAAGATGTAATCCTAGTCTTTCTTCTGTTCTCATGCTGTATTCTCTACCTAGGTGATCTAGTTTACTTCCTTGGATTCACCTATTATCTGTTCATTAATAACTCCCAAATTTAGATAAGAGTGCCAGTTCAGTTCATACTTGATCTTCAGACCAGGGTTGCCAACTACTTTCTTAAGTCTCAATTTGGATGACTCTCAGTATTTCCCAAACTGAACTTACAGACTTTTCCACTAAACTTGATGTTCTTCCATCCATATGTCCATATCTTAGTGAACAGAATCATCCTCACATTTGTTCAAGGCCAATACTTAAGGACACTCCTTGACATTTTTCTTGCACACACACCTAAGCCATTAAGAAGGCAGTATGTTTTTTTTTTAATGTCTGTTTGTTATTTTAACATTAAATTAGGCCCAGCTGGCATGGCTCAGTGGTTGAGCATCGACCCATGCACCAAGAGGTCACCGGTTCATCCCGGTCAGGCCAATGCCCAGGTTGTGGGCCCAATCCCCAGTGAGGGGCATGCAGGAGGCGGCCAATCGATGTTCTCTCATCGATGTTTCTGTCTCTCTCTTGCTCTCCCTTCCTCTCTCTCTCTCTCTAAAATCAATAAAGAAAAAAAAATTTTTTTAACAAAAAAAAAACCACTAAATTAGAAGACATAACTGCTTTTAATAATTCAGATATACCCAAGTCTGAAGTATCCATAAATTACTAGAATGTTTATTAAAAATACTAGGATATCTAATGTCTTCTGAGTAGATGAAGCAGTATATCTTGAATGGAGAAGTCATTGGACCTTGCATCTGAATATCTAGTGCTTCCCAGCACTGCCTGTGGTTGGGGCCTGGAACAAATCACTCAGCCTTTCTGAAGACTAGATTCCTCTGCTGTAAAATAAAATAATAATAATAATACCTCCCTAGAGTTGATCTGAGGGTCAAAGAGATAATAAATATGTGAAAGTGCCACATGTTAATTTAAATTGCTATGTCGGTCAGTGTAAGATGTTACATTGTAAGATGCTCTCCCAATCAATAGGTTCCCTTTTCTTTTATTGATAGTTTTCATTTTGTTGTTGGTTTCCTTTGCTGTGCAAAGTTTTTTTTAGTTTGATGTAGTTCTATTTGTTTATCTTTGCTTTTGTTGACCTTGCCTGAGGAGACAGATCCAAAAATATTGCTAACAGTGATGTCAAAAGAGTTTACTGCCTAAGTTTTCTTCTATAGATTTTATGGTTTCTGGTCTTACATTTAGGTCTTTAATCCATTTTTAGTTTATTTTTGTATGTGGTATAAAAAAATGCTCCAGTTTCATTCTTCTACATGTAGATGTCCAGTTTTCCCAATACTACTCACTTATTGCAGAGATTGTCTTTTCCTATTGTATATTCTTGCCTCATTTGTTTGTATATTAATTGACTATATATCAAGGATTTATTTCTGGGATCTCTATTCTGTTCCATTGACTGATATTGTCAGTTTTTATGCCATGCCATACTGTTTTGATTACTCTAGCTCTGTAGTCAAACCAGAGAGCATGATACCTCCAGTTTTGTTTTCTTTCTCAAGATTCCTTTGGCTATATAGTGTCTTGTGGTTACATACAAATTTCAGGATTATTTTTCTAGTTCTATGAAAAATGCAACTGGTTATTTGATAGAGATTGCATTAAATCTGTAGATTGCTTTGGGTAGTATGGACATATTGATAATATTCTTCTAATTCATAAGCACAGTTTATCTTCACATTCATTTGTTTCATTTTCAGTTTCTTTCATCAATGTCTTACAGTTTTTTAGTACAGGTAACACCTCCTTGTTTAAATTCATTCCTAGGTATTTTATTCTTTTTGATGCAATTTTCAATGGAATTGTTTTCTTAATTTCTCTTTCTGATAGTTCGTTGTTAGTGTATAGGAATGCAACAGGTTTCTGTATATTAATTTTGTATCCTGCAACTTTACTGACTTTATTAGTTCTAATAGTTTTTTGGGTTTTTTTTTATTCTCACCCGAGGACATTTTTGCACTTATCTTCAGATAGAGAGGGAAGAAGTGAGAGAGAGAGAGAGAAACATCGATATGAAAGAGACACATCAATTGGCTGCCACCCACACAACCCTAACTGGGGCCAGGGCAAGCTGCAACCGAGGTACGTGCCCTTAGCAGGAACCGAACCCGAACTCTCTAGTCCACAGGCCAACACTCTAACAGCTGAGCCAAACTGGCTAGGGCTAATTCTAATAGTTTTTTTATGGAGTCCTTATGGTTTTTTATAAATAGTATCATGTCATCTGCAAATAGGGACTGTTTTATTTCTTCCTTTCCAATGTGGATGCCTTTCATTTCTTTTTCTTGTCTGATTGTTTTGTCTTGGACTTCCAAAACTATGCTGAATAAAAGTGGTGAGAGTGAGCATCATTGCCTTGTTACTGATCTTACAGGAAATGCTTTCAGCTTTTCACCATTGCATATGATGTTATCTATGGATTTGTCATATATGATTTTTATTATGTTGAGGTATGTTTCCTCTATGTTCATATTGTTGGGAGTTTTTCTCATAAATGGATGTTGAATTTTGTCAAATGCTATTTCTGCATCTATTGAGATAATCATGATTTTTATCCTTCATTTTTAAAATGAGGTGTATCATATTGACTAATTTGTGGATATTGAACCATCTTTGCATCCCTGGAGTAAATGCCACTTGATGGTGGTATATGATCCTTTTAATGTGTTATAGAATTTGATTTTCCAGTATTTTAGATTTTTGCATCTATGGTCATCAGGGATATGAGCCTATAATTATCTTTTTTTTATAGTGTCTTTTTCTGATTTGGGTATAAGGGTAATGCTGGCCTCATAGAATGACTTTAGAAGTATTCCTTTCTCTTCAATTTTTGGGATAGTTTTGCGAAGGATAGATATTAACTCTTCCTTAAATGTTTGGCAGAATTCACCTGTGAAACCTTCTTGGACTTCTGATCTTGGACTTTGGTTTGTTGGGAGTTTTTAATTACTGGTTCAATTTCATTACTAATAATTGGTGTGTTGAGATTTTCTGTTTTATCCTGAGTCAGTCTTAGGACATTGTTTCTAGAAACTTTTAGGTTGTCCATTTTGTTGCTATATAATGTTCATAGTAATCTCTATGATCCTTTTTCTGAGATGTCAGTTGTTACTCCTCTTTCATTTCTAATTTTATTTATCTGTGCCCTCTCTTTTTCTTGGTGAATCTGATTGAAGGTTTATCAGTTTTGTTTGTCTTTTCAAAGTACCAACTCTTAGTTTCATTGATCTTTTCTATTGTTTTATTTTAGTCTCCATTTCATTTATCATTACTCTGACTTTTATTATTTCCTTCCTTCTACTTACTTTTGGGTTTTGTTCTTTTACTAGTTCTTTTAGATGTAAAGATAGGTTGTTTATTTAGGATTTTTCTTGTTTCTTGATGTAGGCTTGTATCACTGTAAATTTCCCTTTTATTAAAATTGCTTTTGCTGCATACCACACATTTTGGAACCTTGTGTTTCCAATTTTATTTGTCTCAGTGTATTTTTTTTTATTTTCTCTTTGATTTCTTCCTTGACATAGTTTTTTTAGTTGCATATTGTTAATCTCCAAGTGTTTGTCTTTTTTTCAGTTTTCTTCTTATAACTAATTTATAGTTTCATATCATTGTGGTCAGAAAAGATGCTTGATGTGATTTGTCTTAAATTTGACCAGACTTGCTTTATGATCTAACATGTGATCTATCCTGCAGAATGTTTCATGTGCACTTGAAAAGACTGTATATTCTGCTATTTTGAATTCAGTGCTCTCCATATATCTATTAATTCTGACTGGTATAACGTGACATTTAATGCCAGTGTTTCCTTATTGATTTTCTATTTTGATGATCTATCCACTGGTGTACATGGGGTATTAAATTTCCCTACCATTACTGGATACTGTTGATTTCTCCCTTTATGTCTGTTAATATTTGCTTTATGTATTTAGTTGCTTCTATGTTGGGTACATAGGTATTTTCAAATGTTAGATCCTCTTATTCAAATGATCCCTTTATCATTGTGTGAGGCCCTTCTCTGTCTCTTGTTACAGTCTTAGTTTTAAAGTCTATTTTGTGTAATATAAGTATTGCTACCCCAGCTTTCTTTCTATTTCTATTTGCATGGAATATCTTTTCCATTGCCTAACTTTAGGTATGTCTTAAATCTGAAGTGATGCCCGAACCAGTTTGGCTCAGCAATTAGAGCCTCGGCCTGCAGACCAAAGGGTCTCAAGTTCGATTCCCAGTCAAGGGGATATACCTGGGTTGCGGGTTCAACCCTGGCCCTGGTCAGGGTCGTGTGGGAGGCAACCAATTGATATTGCTCTCTCACATCACTTTCTCTCTACCTATTCCCCTCCCTCCCTTCCACTCTATCTAAAAAAATCTGAAGTGAGTCTCTTATGGGTAGCATATACATGGGTCTTTATATTTTTATCCATTTAGACACTCTGTGTCTTTTTTTTGTTTGTTTTTATTGATTTTTTTTTTGAGAGAGAGAGATACATTAATATGAGAGAGAAACATCTATCAGCTGCCTCCCATACTCCCCCTACTTGGGATTGAGCCTGCAGCCTGGGCATTTGCCCTGACCGGAAATTGAACCAGGACCTCTCAGTCCATGGAACAATACTCAGTCCGTTGAGCCACTCCAGCCAGGCGACACCCTGTCTCTTTTGATTGAAGCATTTACTTTTAAAGTAATTATTGATAGGTATGTACTTATTTCCTAAATGTTCTTTAAATCATCTCCTCCTTACATTTCCATTGCCAACAGGATCATATAATGCATTCTTGGGAAAGTATAATCAATTGGTCTCCCTGACTCCAGATGGGACAGTTATAACATTGTGTACTTGTAAAGTAGAGCCACTGCTCTACACAACTTATGATGTAGCTAGAAGCCTGTGGATCATAAAGCTACTGCCCTTCCCCCTGCAAGTGGGCAGTTTGTTTTTGAGTCTCAGGGAAGTGGGTCAGGGAAACAAACCATCCAGTATAAAATAGCCATCCAGTTACTGCATGTCATTTACTTCCATTTTAATGTTCTGCAAAATGATTTCTGTTATCTATCACTGTTATTGTTATTGTTTATTTTCACAGCTTTCCCTTCCCACCCTCAACCTGAATGTAAAAATATGTAGCACACAGTAGATAATTAGGAACAATATTGATAAATTAATAAATGAAGGAATGACTCAGTCTTTTCATCAAGACTAATCATCTTTCCCATGCTTGAATTAGGGAGATGTTACTATGAAACAACATAAATTACGAAGTTTATTAATTGGATTTTGAAGAGAAAATGTCACCCTCATTTCTTTAGTTCAGGGAAACTTCATAGAGAAAGACCATCATTTCATAAAATAGTGACAAAGGGAAAACTATATGAAGGTTCAGAACCACAAGCAGAAAAATAATAATATGGTTGTCTAAGTAAAGAAACAGCAGCTCAGACATTTCCTCCATGCTTTTCTGTTTTCTGTACTTTCATTTTCATATGTAAGGGAGCCAATGTAATACTTCAGGGATAAGTTTTGTATGTAGTGCAGAAGACTAGATTTCTTTAGAGATGCCATTGAATCAGATTCTGTTATGTCTTTGAGACATTTGAGGATATTGTAAAAGAACTCAAAGGCAGAATGGATAAAAGCACATAGTTTATGTGCCAGAATATCTTGGTTTGAATACTGGTTCTGCCATTTATTTGCAGAATAACCTTGGGCAAGTTACTTAATTTCTGCATATAATAATGAAATACCTACCTTAAATATTTGTTATGAGGAATACAATGGTTAAATTGAACACTTTGGAATAGTGCCATATTTATTTTGTGCTAGGTAAGTGTTCAATATTATTGCTATTATTCCTTGTTCAGACTTACATGTAGCCATAAGAACTTTCTTAAAGTGAGATTACTATAGTTAAGCTGAAGTAACATACAGCTGGTTTTGAAAGCAAAGCAATTTATGCAGTTCCTTAAATGTAAATTATCTGTGAGGAATATGGTAATATTAACTGTTTCAATTGTGTGATCATCTTCCATTTAACTTTCAGGAGAATCCTCATTGACACTGGAGAACCAGCAATTCCAGAATATATCATCTGTTTAAAGCAGGCTCTGAATGAATTTAGCACAGCAATCCAGGAAATCATAGTGACTCATTGGCATCGCGATCATACTGGAGGCATAGGAGATATTTGTAAAAACATTGATAATGGTAAGCAGAATACATTCATTAAGCTCATTGAAGAAACCTACGTTTTCAGAATAATTTCCGTTACAGAGCTAAGTAAGCTAGTAAACAATTTGCTGAATATTTACTTTTAAATGGTACTTTTAGAAATTAATATAACCCCCAAAAAATAGAAAAGAAAAACTAGAAATGAATATAACTTGAATACTGTGACCATTTTTAACAAGGGAAAAAGTAAAAGTCCTATTTTCTATTTCATATCTCTTCTCCCTCTTATTTTCCCCCTTTGCCCAGTGATGAAGGTCAGTTTTAATTTAGTCCGTGTGACAGTTACTGCTTCAGATTTTATAGCTAACCACTTTTTAGCATTTACTGTGTGCCAAGCACTGTAGTATATACTTTACATTGGTACTTGAGGTAGTTGCTGTTATTGTCCACATTCTAAACATCATCTCAGGTGTTTCATAACTTTAAGGCAGTTAATCTGATGTACTATAATAGTGATGAAAGATCATTGTATTGATAATTCTTTGTCCCTGAGATTTATTCAGTACTGACACTTTACCATCTCTCTCCTTATTCCCTTGTCCCACCATCCCACACATTCATTCCTTTAACAAATATTCAAGTTATTGCTAAATTCAAGCACTGTTCTTGGCACAGCGGATATAGCAATAAAACAAAGACTCCACTCTCATGGGACTTTCATTCTAGTAGAGAAGGTAAATGGTAAATGAATAATAGATCAGATAGTGATAGGTGCTATGAAGAAAAATAAAGCTAAGTGAAGAAAAGGGGAGAGAGAATAAAGTAGAAGAGAGCTGTAGCTATTATATTTAGGGTGGACAGGGAGTGAGGGAGTAAACTATACAGGTATCAGAGGAGGGCATGCCAGGCAAAGGGCACTGCAGGAGCAGATACTAGAATGGGGGTGTGCTTGACATGTTCAAAGCACAGAAAGGACAAAGAGGTCAAGAATGTTCGTTCACAACTGATAATTTTAAATATTTTCTAAGTGTTTTCTTTTTAGGCCTTGAGACTACAATTGGGCCAGAAAGTTATTCTCAGCTACATTGGCCTATATCACCAGGTTGCTCATTATGGAAAACTGTCTAACCTAGCTTTCTAGCCCTCTTACCTCCTTTCTTCCAATCCAAGGGGACTATATGGAAGTAGTTCTCTCTCAGTCTGACTTTTCTTCACCTTTCTTTCTCTTGTTTATCTACCCATTAAATTTTGTGAAATAAAAAACTATGCTAGGGTCCTTAATTAGCTTCCGTCAACTCTTTTAGCATGAGGGCCAGTTTGAAAAATTAAAATGTTTATATTCAGTGAGCAAAAGCTAAAAGCATTTCCCTTAAGAACAGGAACAAGACAGGGATGCCCACTTTTGCCACTCTTATTTAACATAGTAAGGAAGTCTTAGCCACAGCAGTTTGACAAGAAGAAAAAAATAAAGGAGATCCAGATTGGAAAGGAGGAAGTGAAACTGTCTTTATTCGCAGATGACATGTTGTTGTTCATAGGAAACCCTAAAGAATCCATCAAAAATCTGCTAGATTTAATAAATGAATTTGGCAAACTAGCAGGATACAAAATTAACATCCAGAAATCGATGGCATTTTTATACACCAATAATGAACACTCAGAAAGGGAAACTAAAAAAAACAATCCCATTTACTGTTACAACAACAATAACAAAAAAATACCTGGGAATAAACTCAACCAAGGAGGTAAAAGACCTGTTCTCAGAAAACTACAGAACACTGAAAAAATAAATAAAGGAAGATATAACAAAGTGGAAACATATACCATGTTCATGGATTGGAAAAATCAACATCATTAAAATGTCCATTCTACCCAAAGCAATCTACAGATTCAATGTAATTCCTGTTAAAGTACCAACAGCATATTTCACAGATGTAGAACAAATACTTCAAATGTTTATATAGAACCGTAAAAGACCCCAAATAGCCACAGCATCTTGAAAAAGAAGACCAAAGTGGAAGGGAGCACAATACCAGATATCAAATTATACTCAAAACCACTGTAATCAAAACAGCCTTGTACTGGCACAAGAACAGGCATATAGATCAATGGAACAGAACAGAGAACCCAGAAATCAACCCAAGACAGTATGCACAATTAATATTTGACAAAGTAGGCAAAAGCATACAATGGAGAAAAGACAGTCTCTTCAATAAATGGTGTTGGAGAAATTGGATAGTTACATGCAAAAATATGAAACTAGACCACCAATTTATACCATATACAAGAATAAACTCAAAATGGATAAAAGACTTAAATGTCACTTGTGAAACCATAAAAATCCTAGAAGAAAATTAGGGGAAAAAAATCTCAGACATCATACATGGCAGAATTTTCACTGATACATCACCTAGGGCAAGAGAAACAAAGGAAAAAATTAACAAATGGGACTACATCAAACTAAAAAGCCGCTGGCCAGTTTTGCTCAGCCATTAGAGCTTCAGGCCATGGACCACAGAGTCGTGGGTTTGATTCCAGTCAAGTGCACATACCTCAGTTATGGTAAGGTCCCCAGCCCTGGTCAGAGTCCTGTGGGAGGCAACCAATCTATGTGTCTTTCTCACATCGCTGTTTCTCTCACTCTATCTGAAGATAAATGGAAAACTATCCTCAAGTGAGGATTAAAAAACAAACAAACAAACTAAAAAGCTTCTGCACTGCAAAAGAAACCAGCATCAAAATGAAAAGGGAATCCACTCTCTGAGAGAACATATCTGCCAATGATACATCAGGTAAGGGGTTAATATCCAAAATATATAGAGTACTCATACAACTCAACAAAAGGAAGACAAACAATCCAATTAAAAAATGGGCAGAGGACCTGAATAGACACTTCTCCAAACACGACATACAAGTGGCCAGGAGACATATGAAAACATGCTCCACTTCTCTAATCATCAGAGAGATGCAAATTAAAACAACTATGAGATATCACCTCACACCTACCAGAATGGTGGCCATCAACAAATCCTCAAACAAGTGCTGGCAAGGATGTGGAGAAAAGGGAACTCTAGCACACTGCTGGTAGGAATGCAAACTGATGCAGCCACTATGGAAAACAATATGGTGTTTCCTCAAAAAATTAAAAATGGATCTGCCATTTGACCCAGTGATCCCACTTCTTGGAATATATCCTAAGAAGCCTGAAACACCAATCAGGAAGAATATATGCACTCTTATATTCATAGCAGCACTATTTACAATAGCCTAGGTCAAGAAATAGCCAAAGTGTCCATCAACAGATGAATGGTTAAAAAAGCTATGGTATATTTACACAATGGAATACTATGCAGCTGTAAGAAAGAAAGATCTCTTACCCTTTGAGATGACATGGAGGAACCTGGAGAGTATTATGCTAAGCAAAATAAGCCAGTCAGAGAAAGACACGTACCACATGATCTCACTTATTTATGGAATATAATAAACAGAATAAGCTGTTGACCAAAAGAGATGCAGAGTTATGGAAGTAGGGGACTGACTAATAAACCTCAGAGGCATGGGGGGTGAGGAGGAGGAGCAGGAAGAGATAAACCGAAGAACTTATATCCATTTATGCACAACCAATAGACATAGACATTAGGTTGGGTAAAGCAGGAGGTGGAGGAATCAGGAAGGAGGGGATTAACAGGAAAAGGGGGGCACATCTGTAATACTTTCAACAATAAGATAGATAGATAGATAGATAGATAGATAGATAGATAGATAGATAGATAGATAGATAGATGTATGTTTGTATGTATGTATGTTGGGGGAAAGGTAATCAGAACACCAGTGGGGGGAAAAAATGAAAGCTTCCTAAATGTGGAGTAAAATATTTTTAATGTCGTGTAGTAAAAAAATAGCAAATGAAAACTCACTACATGATATGTAAAATGTGTTATTTACAATGTTCTAGAAGCAGCAATTCAGTGGAAAAATAGATTGTGTGTATATGGTTATATTATGATTTATCTAACAGAAAATATAAAGAATTTTAAAATCCTAAAAAAAACTTAAAATGTTTACAGCCTACTTTTTCTCCTTCATAAATCACCTTTATTGAGCTTGAACTTACATACCCATTAAATGTACCCATTTTAAGTGTTTAGTTTGTAAACACCTATGTGACCAATCCAATCAAGATAAAGAACACACCCAGAAAGAGGTCTCTTTGTGCCCCTCTCCAGAGATTCCCCTCCACCTCCAGCACCCACTTACCTGCTTTGACTGTAGATTAGTTTTGCCTGTTTTAAGTGTCACATAATGGAAGCATACAGAATTACTCTCTGGCTTTTTTCACACAGCATCATGTCTTTGAGATTCACCCATGTTTCACATGTCAGTAGTTTGTTCCTTTTTATTGCCCAATAGTTATCCATGTTAGGAATACACCATGATTTGTTTATCCTGTTAATGGACATTTGACTTACTATTTTTAAATTAAAAATTAAAATAGTTTTGGGTTCCATTAAAATAATGAATATTATTTTGCCTGGCCAGTGTGGCTCAGTGGATTAAACGTCATCTCATGGACCTGAGAGATCCTGGTTCTGTTCCTGGTGAGGGCACATGCCTGGGTTTCAGGGTCAATCCCAGTAAGGAACATGCAGGAAGAAGGCAGCCAATCAATGTTTCTCTGTCACATCGATGTTTCTTTCTGTCTCTCCCTTCCTCTCTCTCTAAAAAAAATAAAATAAAAAAATAAAAATTAATATTTACATAATAGATTACCTATGAGATTAATTTAAAGAAAATCAAGAAGAAATTGGATACTGCTTTATAGCCGCTAAACTTTTCATGCTTTCTTTGAGAAGTGGCTTGATGTTTTTCATTCTGAACTCTATGGAAGTTTGACAAGCTGCATACAGACCTTGAGTTGTTCATCATTGAAACTGTACCAGAGGTACCTTTCAGAATCTTCCCCCAAAAGTCATATGTATTTCTTCATTCCTTAAATCCTTAATCACTACCATTCTTGTTCCATTTTGTTTTCTCAT